TTTATTAACTATAGAAAACTGATATTGAAAGTATATGCTATTAAAAACTAATAAAAGAAAAAAAAATAATTTTTAGAGTTCAACTAGATTTTGATAACTAATTTAATATCACTGATAAATCATAAAGTTTATTATAATATTTTTGATAATAGATAGTAGCATATTAAAAAATTTAATATCCTAACAGTAATCTAATTATATAAAATTTTCAGTATATTTTTTCTCTATTTTATAGTTTTTAATAATTTCTTATCTAGCAAAATAATTTTTGTATATATACAGCTATTTTGATACTAAATTATTATTTTTTTAAAATAGTTAGTTATATTATAACTCTAAAAAAGTATCTATAGTAAATTAAAATTAAAATTAGTATATATATAGTTTCTCTCTATTTATTTAAAAATATATTATTAGCAGTTTACTATATTATTATAAATTTGTTTACTAATCAATAAATTAGTTTATAAACTTAAAACTAAATTGAAAAAGAGAATTAAATAATAAATAAAATATTAAAAGAAAAAAGTGAAATCTAAATTCTATATCAATTTTTATAAAAAATTGTAATAATTCAAAGATATAATAATAAGATAAAAGAGTTATAAAAGAGTAAAAATCAAAAAAAAGAAAGAAAGTATAAAATAATAAGTAAATAAATAATAAAGAAAATTTTGAAATGCTAATTCTCAAATCTCTCTATAATTATCACTCTCAGGAAAGCAAAATTTGGTGACTATAAAGAGATTTTTTTACTATATTTATATATAAATGAAAAGATAAAATAAGATAACTATAAAAAGATATAACTATAAATAAGTATAACTATAAAGAAGTTTAACTGTACAATTAATAATAACAATAATAAAAATTCTTTTACTTTGTTTTTTTCATGAATGAAAAATATCAAAATATCAAATTCAAAAATAACAAAATTTCAAAATAATAAAATTAAAATACTTAATCAAAATCAATAAATCTAATAACAGTAATTTGTTTAATATAATATAATATAAAGCTAATAATTTAATAATAATACTTTATTTAATATAATATAATCTAAAGTTCAAATTAATAATAATATTTTGTTTAGCATAATATAATTTAAAGTCACTTGTATGCAAGCTTTAATATATACAATTAAAAGTGAAAGAGATAAATATTATTTAAAAAAGATTTTTATTAAGAAAAAATTTTATTTTTTATTTATAATATATCAAATTAAGATTCAAATAGTATTTTTATTTATATATTTTCAAAAATAAATTTTAAATATAATAATTTTCTAAAAGTAAAATAATTAATCAAAAAGATAAGATAAAATAAAATAAAAAATAAAATAACTAAAAGATAAAATAAAAAATAAAATAAAAAATAAAATAATAATAAAAATAAAATAAAAAATAAAATAATAAATAAAATAATTATAAAGATAAAATAAAAGATAAAATAATTGGATAAAATAATAATAAATAAAAGATAAAATAATAATAAAATAATTGAATAAAATAATAATAAGAATAAAATAGAAATAATATATTATAAGTTATTTTTATTATTTTTTATATTTTAATATTTTTAGAAATTTTTTATTTTTCTGCTATTTTTGAAAGTCATAATTTACAAAATTATTATTAATATTATAATAATATTATTGTAACTTTTTTTCAAATAACTAATCATATTATAATCTTTTAATTAAAATTTTTGATGATTTTTTATCTTATTTTTTAATTTATAATTCTTATTCTTTAAGTTAAATTAATTTTAAACTTAGAATATATTATTACAAGTGAATTTTTAAGGAATTTAGTACTAAATTAATGTGAAAATATTATATTAAAATAAATAAACTCAGTTATAATATGAATTTATTAGTTAATATATATTATAATTATATAATAAAGTCTATTATTTTTTAGAATTTAACTTTAAATAATTATAAGATTACATAATATTTTTGATACAAAATAATTATCAATATATAACTATCTCTTAAGCGAACTTTTATATAATATTATTTAAATTTAAACTTTAATAATATATTATTATTTTTATAATATTTTTCAATATTTTCAATAGTATAATTTAAAATATAAAATATTAAAATACTTTTATTTAGGATTAATTGTTATATTTTGCTTTTTTATAACTATAAAATTAATTATATTTATATATAATCATATAATTTATAATAAATATAATATATATATAAAGTTATATATATATATATTACATATAAAAATTTACATATTCAAATTATATATTACATATAAAAGTTATGTAATTTCAAATTTGTTCAATAAAAATATAATTAATTAAATATTAAATAATAAATAATTAAATTAAATGAATTTAAATTACTAAAAATATTAATTATTAATAAATAACTATATTATAAAATATTTTAACTATAATAATATATTTAATTATTATTATTATTGTTATAATAATAGTATAATTATTATTAATATTATTATTATTATTATTATTTTCGTTTAAAGAGTATGATTTTAATTAAATATGAGTTTTGAAAGAGAATTGTATATTAATAATAATAAATATTAAAGGTAATAATATCATTATAATAATAATTTTTTGATAATAAGAGTAATATCTATGAAATAATTTTCTTTTTCTTTTTAAAATTGTGCAAACTTTATGAAAGATTATTTAAAATTTGTTAAAGTCAAGTTATTACTTCAATATTCATTGTTTTTTGTAAAGAATCTTGATAAATTCAATCTAAAAAAAATTTATTTTAACCAGTATATAATTAATCAAATAATTAAATTATAAAAATAAAAGTTAATAAATTCTTTTTTAGTTAAATATCTTTATTATAATAAAAACTAATTAAATTTATATTATAATAGATAATATTTAAAATTGTCTATAATAAAATTTATTTAATATAAAAAATTTATTAATAAATTTTTAAAAACTCTTGATATATTAAAAAATTTTTTGTTAAATCATATAGCTTTTTTTGATATATTATAAAAGATTTATTATATATATATATATTTGATTTTAAATAATAAATATTAAGTATTATAATCAGATTTTTGTTATAATAAAAAATAGTTTATAATTATAAAAATATTATTATTTAAATATTTTTTTATTATAATTAATTGTATTATTATTAAAAGTATAATTATATATATATAAATAATTATATTATTAATAAAATAATTAATAATTTAAATTATAAACTAATAATTATAAATAATAATTGTTAATATAGATAATACAAGAAATTAAATTAGTAAATATTTAGATCTCATTTTCTTAATTACTAATTGATTAATATATAATCTAAATTAATTAATAATATTATATTAAATTAAAGATCTATAAGATAATTTCTAAATAAAATTTATAAATTAAACTTCTGTATAATCTAGATTAATTCAAAATATAATAATGCTTTAATTGTATATTAAAATAATATCATTAAAAGAATAATAATTATTCTTTTTTCTATTTAATTCTTACTCAAATACTTTAAAATTATACTGATAAAACATTATCAAAAGAATAGTAATTACTCTCTTTTTCACTTAATTTTCATCCAAAAAAAATTAATATTAAAAATAAAAAGACAAACTCATTCTTTTAAGTGTATCAAAATAAATTATAAATTAATTAACTATAAAAAATTATGTATAAAATTGAAAATGCAATCTCTATTTTTTCTAGTTTAACAAATATATAGTGAATTAAATGAATAAATACTAAATTAAATATAATTACAAAAGGATTTCTAACATATTTGGATAAAACTCTGATTTTATATCAAATTAGCATTTTTAACACTTTTAAAAATATTATTAATCTCAATTAAAACAAAAAAAACCATAGCAATAACTAAGTATAGTCAAATTTTTTTATAGTTACTATTATCAGAAAAGCAAAATTGAATAAGTTTTTTTTTACTATATTTATATATACATGTAAATGGAAAAGCAAAATAGTATAACTGTGATTATAAATGAATATAATTATAAAAAAATTTGACTATAAGTCTTTTAAATTAACAATATTACACTAAATATAATGTAAAATGAAAATAGTGTTAAAAAATTTGATTATAATAATATTTCTTTATGAAAAAATATTTTTTTGGTAAAGATTATATAAAGATGAATGACTTATTTATCTCTTGGTCAATTTGATGAACTGATCAAATCAGAGATTACAGAACTGACAATTTTTTATGCCATAATAACCACATGATAATAATATGTGACACTCATAATGTGAATAGCAATTTTCTTTATCAAACTAGATTTTTGTCAAATCTGAAATTTTTTTATCAACAAATTGTGTATTATATTAATTAAGTATAACATAATAAAGATATAAGATATTCAAAATCAAGACAATAATGCAAGCAACCAACTTGGTTATATAGTCATACCTGGATTATATCATTCCTTTTGTTTCTATATGTTTTAAATTGTTGTGATGATGGAATATACTTAAATACATAAAACACATATAAGAAGAAAATCCGTTCCAGCTCAACTGTGGAGATATAAATGAGATTTTAAATAAGAGAGAATATAATCCAGATACGACTGTATATACTAGCTTTTTCCAAAATAAATCGCTCTTATCGGATCCTAATTTTCAATTATTGTAGTTTAAAAAAGCTCCAGCATTTATTCAGTTTTATTATCGTTATAACTGAAAAGATATAAGTTATTAAAGAACTCTAACACAGCTAATTCCGGACCTAGAAATTATATTAGTGTTTGTCTCTGAAATATTTAGTGAGACTTTGGGTTTTTCTTAGGTATCTTCGGAACTTTTGACGTGAATAGCAATGTGACTTAATCTACACGGTTTGAAAAACCTATGATATGATTAAAATCAATCTGTGTGAAAAAGATGACTTGATTAAGTCAGCATCAAAAAATCGAGTGATATAAAAATCCAGTAAACTTTCATTTAGATAATGCATCCCTTACCACCACCTCAGCAACATAATAATGATAAGAAGATGCGTTAGGTTGCGAGGAGGAAGTTGGATTAATAGCAGCAGCAATAATGATATAAAGTATTGTGATTTTCCGAGAGTCGCGCCAATTTTTAAAATGTGCAAAAATGGTGGCAAAGGAATCAACGGTTGCAGTGCGTTAGATGTCAAAGATAGAATGTGGATGTTTTTTCATCGACAGTCAAGTGTATCTATTATTTTGTTAAATTTGCTGTTATTTTTATTTGTATTCTTTGATTTATTTCGATTTTCTGCAAATAGTTAGTTTTTCTACATCCAGGTGAGAAAAAAGTTCAATTAATCAAATTAGAATGTCAGATAAAAACATTAATTGTTAATAATTAGAAATTGTCGCGACCGCAACCTTCGCTAGCGGAATAATAATCATCGCGATTATCGACAAGTTCCGACCACATCATCACCGCTATATTAGCCGAATAACCGATCATAATCAATCAGCTACCAATCAACCACGTCGCCAGCTAAAACTTACTCGGATAAAAGCGACGAGGTCACCATCAAATCAGTCAACTTTGAAAATTGCAATTACAATGATTACAGCCGCCTTGATTATTGCTGTTGACTTTTTTTATATTCAAGAAAAGAGAGTTGGTTTAGTTAGGTGTGATTGATTGATTTTATAGATTATGTAATAAAGAAAAACTTTTAGTCGCATATTCTCACAAAACGTCAGCATGATGTAATTTTGTTTTTTATTTAAAATCTACAATGACAACTCGATATAAATTTCGTGACCTTTTACTTTTCTAAAGAAACAACAAAAAAACAATAACCATTAATAAAGAAATAACAACCAAATTATAGTAATGGAACGCACCTTTATCGGAGACAAACAAGTTCCTAAAACAACCGAAATTCCTCGTCCTTCTCTCGAAGAGGTAGAAAAACGGGAAGCTGAACGATTGAAAGATAGAGATGAGCAAGGAAAACCTAAAGAAGGTAAATGAAAAGTTGTATTTGTTTATTTATTTTACTTATTTTTGAAATAATGTATGTTTTTCGTTTTCTTAAGGTGGTTCAGCTGGACGTGTTCTAATCGGCGCTCATACTACTGCCGATGTCGAACATAAAAAGCAATAATGTAAGAGACGCAATCAACAATGACCTCGATTTCATGATTTATATTATCTGTTGTTTATTTAAGAGTCTCATAGTGAATAAATTCCTACAAAAATAATAATACGCTTGAAGTTATTGATTGTTAGTCAATTACAATAAAAAAATAACTAGTTTTAATATTATTATTAATTTAGTAAATTATAGTAAAAAGTGCAAGTTTTCTTATCACACTGTATATATCCTGCTAGTTCCAAGATAAAATAATGAAATTAAAAAGTAAATTCTTTTAGATAATTTTTTTTAGCAAAAATTTAACAATAAAATTGTTTTTCATAACATAAAATGATAGTAACTAAATTACAAATTTTTAAAGAATGTAATTATAAAATTTTGTTAAGATTCCTGTCATTATAAAATCAAAAAATCTCATAATTTTGGCGCGTTGTAATTTGTTCTATGCATATTAAATTTCAAGATAAGATATTGATCTTTCTTTTACATCTACGTATATTATATCATAATAATCGATAATGTAGTGTCCAAAAATCTTTATTTGTCAAAGAAATAAAGGCGAAACACTCGATCTGCCAGAAAATCCCTCACTCTTATTAATGAGAAAGATGATATTTTTTACTATGGCTATTGAAAAATGCCACGTTATTATTATTATTATTATTATTATTATTATTATTATTATTATTATTATTATTATTATTATTATTATTATTATTAT